CTTCCCCCCCCCCCCCCCCCGATGCCAAGAAATAAACAGGCATATTTTCTTTCTCAGTTTATCTCTTTTCTCAAGAACATATCTAGAGGAGGAAAGAATCAGAATGAACAAGACAAGATCACGGCTATTTTTTAAAAGATGCTTATAGTCCTGAACTTGCATGTGTCTATCCAGCCCACATGGTCTCCGGGGTTAGTGGGTTTTTTTCTTTTTTAAGACGAACTTTTGTTATGTTAAGAGATGGTGATAAGGTATTAAAATTGTTTTTCCTTGCTGGGATGAAGGGGGAAGTTACTTCTATTTTTCTTTCCTTTTTTCCTTTTCTATGCTTTTTTCCTTTTTGGTGTTTTTCTTCTTGTATTTCGGTGTGTTTTTTTTGTAGTTTGTAGTAGTTTTTATTCTTTCTGTTTGTAATTCTTAAGAACATTATTTGGAAAAAAAGAGAAACTTTAGCACTTTTTGTAGGGTTCCACTAGGCAAGGAGAATAATTTTATCTGCTTCCTATTTCTAGGAACTGATCAATTTTGCAATCAATATGACAGCTGGAAATTCAATTTTTTAACTTCTCAGAACTGAAAGATTCTGTTCTTATTTTGTCTTCGTTTTCTAAATTAGAGAAACTGGCGCCTTGAAATAATGTATTAGGAAAAAAGGGCTTGTCTCAAAAACCTGTTAAGGGAAGTTTTGCACAAAGCTGTATGCGTTTGGGAAAATGTGTTAAAACATCTATTAAAATCTCTATATTTTTAAAAAATATAAAATACCATTAAAATAAATTCTGTATTTTTATCTGCCTATTATTTCAAGGAAAGATTTCTCCATTCTTGGTCCCTAATGCTTTTGGGGGCGGTGGGGGGTGATACAGAGTAAAGCTTTTTTGCTTTATCAGAACCAGGGTGTTGTAAATGGGAAAACTGTCACATAGGATTGGGGGGACCCTCATTCAATTCTTTTTCAACCATGAAGAACATGGGTGACATTGGACCAGTCAGTAAATCTCAAATCATCCTACCTCACAGGATTGGTTTTTTTGGGGGGGAAACTTCCATTGCACTGGTTTATCCCCTGAGAAAAAGTGGGCTAAAATGGTGAACACAAAAAATAAACATTGCTTATTTTAACAAGTTAACAGGAAAAACAAGCAACTGCTTTTCTGAAATTCTAAAACCAACATTTATTGTGATGAATTGTGGCAATCAGAAAGTCAAGAGGGCAGCCATAGTGGTGAATTGATGCACTGCACATAAAAACCAGCAGAGCTTCGACTGCACCATCGGGGCCTCCATCTTGACTTTTTTGACCACACCTTGTGGATACCCCTGCTGTGTTCCAAAGCTTCATGTGCCTATATGAGAAACCCTCGTAGACCGAATATTCTTGTTGCCTTTCCTTCATTCTTCCCTTTTCTAATGTTTTATTATTATTTTCCTTTGCATTCTGTTTAATTGAAGACCCCCACTTCTTTTTTAAGGCTAAAATGAAAGCCCCCCCCCCAATATTTCTACCCTTCCAACTCTCCCCTGGTCTCAAAGGGCTGCATTGCCCGAGAAGAGACTTTTCCAACGAGAAGAACTTTGCTCCAACGCTTCTTGTTTGCTCACAAATTGTTGGATAAGCATTACTTTCTTCTGGAGATGATTCCTACTCCTGGAGTCAAAAGACCATGAAATTTAATTTTACGCCTATTTGACCAGAGTCAATTTGGTCTCCAAATCAATGTGAGAGATAAGGGTCAACGGGCGCCAGGCGGTTCAGCAGCTGGAGCTACGGAGCTCAGAGGGAGCTCAGTGACCATAACACTTGAAAATCCCCCAGGAAGTCCACCATTAAGGTGACTCCCTATCTCCCGTCCGCTGGCTCCTTGTCGACGGTGTTCTCCGGTTGCCGGGCACTAAAGCAAACCCAAGCTTTGTTTACGGAGTCTACAGTTACAATGCAGGCTCCAAATATTTGCTAGTCGGCAGTCTTGCAGCTCCACTATAAATACTTTGGTTCCAGGTGGATGGGCGGAGAGCTGGCTGAGAAGGAGGCATAGGGGCCAACCTGCCGAGATCAGGTAAGCATCCCAAAGACTGCTGGTTACGGAGGTGGGGGGAACGGTCCTCTGGGTCCCTGGCTTCTTGCTAAGGACCACTTGGTGCAGCAAAATGAGGAGTGCTTCCTTGGTTTAATTCTTCATTAAGGAGCTAGGGAGATGTCTCCTCTTGGATCTTCTGAATAACCCCATGAGGTAGGTTGAGTGGCGAATGTTGTATTGCTCCAAGATGACCCAAGGAGCAACGAGAGAGTAGGGGTCCAGATGTGGCTGTCTTAAGACTCAAAGGTCTGGGTCATTTTCATGCTGGAGGGGGGAGAGAAGCATGTTATTTCTGAAGATGGGGCTTGAAAAGAATATGCTCCTCAAATGGAAACAGAATAGACCAGTGTTTCTCAGCCTTGGCCACTTGAAGATGTGTGGACTTCAACTCCCAGAATTCCCCCATGCTGGCTAGGGGAGTTCTGGGAATTGAAGTCCACCCATCTCAAAGTTGCTGAGGTTGAGAAACACTGCAATAAACCCTCAACATCCAGGGTGACCTGGATATAGGGAACTAGCCCATTACAGAGAAAATATAGTTCTTTCCATAATATATGTATTTTCCCTATGTAGGGAGCCCATTGGGCAACCCACGGAGGAAAAACACTGATTATTGCTGTAGTTAATGATACAAATCACTGCTTTAGGTTTCTGGCATCAAAATGGAGGTTCTTTCCCCATCTCATGCATGGTATTTTATGTCCTGTAGTGTAGACCCAGAATCCGCCAAGGGAATGCTTCTGTTCTGCGCGCTAGATGCCTCTCCAGAGGACAGGATAAATCAGCTTCCCCCTGGCATGGTGCTTTCCAGGTGTGTGGGGCTATAAGTCCCATCATCCTGCGCCACCACGGCATGGAGAAGGCTGCTATTAGCAAAGGTGAGGGATACTGGCAAATAAATCCAATCTTCCCTCTACATTTTGAATTTTTATCAAACGACACAACTTTTGCTGTAGGACTCAGGTCTTGTCTCTTCTGGGTTTGAGAGGGTTGGTTTTGATCCATTTAATGTGGCACTTCTGCCCACCTCTTCATTTACCTGGGTTTATTCAAAACCCTCCATGGGGTTGTTGTTAACATTGACCTTGTCTGAACCTCAAGAAGGCAGGATAGAAATGTTACAAACAAGCCAACTTCCTTTCTCTTTCTCGATGGCTTGATGGCTTTTCTTCAGTCTCCTGGTGTTTGCCCCTAGAAAGAGATAGTGACAGTGTTGATAGGAACTTGCCTCATTGTGTCTTCCATTTCCAGCAATTGATGCCCTCTTCTCCCTGGGTGCTTGTTCGGTCCAGAAAGTCAAGCACTTGAAGAGCAAAGGAGGAAAAAATGGCAGCTGGAGTGATCCAAACTCTAAGCAAGTTCAGGCTACCAACAGAATTCCAGCATCCATTCCTGTCCTCCATGGCTGGCCAGGAGATGGCTTTCCAATATTTATCTGGAGAAGAAGACACAGAAGAAGAAGAGGAAGATGAGGGAGAAGAAGAAGGAAGAGAAGAGATGGAACTAGTGGAAGATCTTATGAGTCCTGCCCATGAAGATGCAGCTACTGAGGCCAACCCCAGCATAAGTAACACCAAAAAGACACTGCAGCTCCTCCAGTTTGCTGAGCGCATCAGCAATGACATCCAGAGATATTTTGGCAGGAAAAACAAAGAGCAGGAAGAGGAGGAGGAGGTGGAGGAAAGTACCACCGGCAGCACCTATGAGGATTTCTGCTCCCCACCACTGTCAGGGCGAATAGTGTACTACACGGATCTGGTCAGGATTTCTCAGCGTGGGGAGAGTGAGGATGAGGAAGACTTTTCTGACCCCCACAAGCCTTTTGAGCAGCTCTGGAGACCCCTCTGCAGGAAAGATGAAAAGTTGGGCCCCCTGGCTGAACTTTTCGAATATGGTCTGTGTAGGTGTCTTCAGCGGCATCTCTCTCCTGAGAACAAGAAATTGATGAGGCTGGAGAGGAAATACGCACACGTCACCCCCATGCAGGGCAGGAAGCTCCCTCAGTCCTTTTGGAGGGAGCCCACCCTCAGCCCCATATGCACCCCCAGTGGTAACCCCCCCGATTTTAGTGATCTACTGGCTAATTGGACCTCTGAATCTGGCCAGGAGGAGCTGAATGCCAGCCGAGAGCAGCTTGGTGAGGTGGCCGGTGACGGACACTGACAAGTTGAGTGGGCTCTAAGAAATCAAACGTGGGGGAGGCAGAGTCATTTTCCCATCTTGTAGCCTTCCTTTCTCTCATCAGTTCAGTGTGTACATTTGTAAATGCATATTCAGGGAATATGTTGGTCTCCTCTAGTATTTTCCCCTCCCAGGGAAGCAGACAAGAGGCTGGGAATCTATGGCATTCCAGATTTTGCTTTAATTACCTCCCAAAGCATCTTCCGGCTGGTCCGGTCAATGCTGAAGGATGCCTATAAATCCAACATTTTTAGGGGAGGAGGCACAAGTTGCTTACACAGGAAACATGACTTTGAGTGATGATTCTGGGCAGCAGTGGAAATCATGGTTGGGATTTGGTGAGATGGATGTGAGAAGACATTGGGAACTGAAGATGAAGCTTAGAAGGTCTAATTTCGGGGATAGGCTTTCAGATAGATCTCAGCCCTTAGCGGCAGATCTGGAGACAGACAGACAGAGATGTGTCCAAGGACATGTTTGCAATATAGTACAGTTTGGGTCCCAGGAAGTATCTCAGAGCCATGAACAAAAGCTCCAGAGGCCCCT